AACCTCCAATTCATACCTGCGCTGCCCAATCAGCAGATATACTACATTGGTATTGGCGTACAATCCTTCAATATAGTCGCGCCAAAATTGCATCGGGATGAACTAAAACAAAGGAAATTCATAAAAAGCTAACCGTCATTCAGTGATTTTATGTTGTTAGTGTTGCTTAATTGAAATAAAAAATAAAAAATAAAACTAAAAGGCTCAAATGCGCCGAATACGCTTAAGGTCTATACACACACAGTAACAAGGTTTTACGAAAATATTACCAGCCTTGCACGCTCCACATGAGTTCTCTTGATGTCCAAAGTAAATGAACCTATTGGCTCTCTTTTGCATCCATTCTCATCCATAATCTCAATTTCAAAATCGAACAGACTGTGGCGATAGAACTCCAACTGGTAACCGCACTCAATGGACTCTAAATCCATAAAGTTTTCCTATCCTGCTGTTATACTTAATTTCCCATTTTTTGTACCCATTGTTGCTTCATATTCCTCGCCATCGGTTGTTGTCAAACGGCAAACACGTGGCAACAACCCATCGTACTCTTTATATATTTTAGAAGGCAACGGCTACAGCAATGATTAATAATAATTTATACTACGCATGTAACAATTACACATTACAAACCACTAATATAGCACAATAAAATGCAAACAAGAACTAATTTTTGAAACAAAACTAAATGAAAGTACCAGCCATTCACGCCAATCATCCTCGGAGCAGGATATGATCCTCAAAAATGGCACGTCCGTATCCATCTAATCTTAGCTGCAATATATACCCACAGAAAGAAAATTTATTTAGAGTTCTTATTGTAAATTGTTCATTTGGTACATTAAAGAAACCATCTGATTCCCTTTATGAGAAACTAAAAGCGCTGGATCCTCCTGAGATAAAAATCACTTCAAAAGTTTTGAGGTTTAACATCAGAAAAGTTATTGAGGCAAGCGCAATACCTTACGTTTCCACGGTGACATCCAAAATATAACAACTTACAAGGGCATAACATAATCCGCGTGCACTGTTATCCTAAATGATTCTAAAAAGGATCAATGGCTATTAGTCTTACCAATAGTGACTTTCCAATACTATTAACAACCAATCAAAAGCATAAAATAGCAAAATATATTATTCTCCATTGACAAAAATATCAACATCTACTCTTAACTACCATCCTTCATCTCTAAACTCAGTTTACAACCAGAACGAGCAGACGCATTGGCCAAAAAAACAAAAAAAAAAAACAAAACAAAAATTCCACAAGCGAAAGAAGACGACAAACAAACGTCCACACGTTTTTGTATTATGTTCTAACTTTCCTTCTTCCTTCAGGTTAAAAATCTAAAATACGAAAAAGATAAAAAAAAATATAAAAAAGAAACGAACAATCATAGCCTCGCACAATGATTTCTGTACCTACACGACCAACCAGCACACACGATCCGACCAGAGGGGGTCAATCAATTCACAGTGGCAGACAAAAAAAAAAGGAAAAAAAGAACAAAGCATAATTATTTCGACACTCAATTCACAGCCTGCGGAGAAGGTTTACTCTCTTGGAGGGAGATCACGGTTTCGAAAGCCTCCACAAGGGCTTTAACCTTACTATTCCGACTCTTAACAAGCTTACTTGCAGATTGTTCTATAACATTATTAAACAAATTGGTGACCTTTCTTGCCCTTAACATCTTACAGGACTTCCAGTTCAACAGCCCCAAACAAGCCGCACACGCACACACACACATACACATAAAATAAAACAATGTACAATAAAGCCTTCTTTTCCCTCTACAAAACAACAATTGCAACAAGCACAACAATACAAATTCAAAAAAAAAACGAAAGACCATGGAAACCAAAAAGGCGAATAAAATCGGAAAATAACGGAACCTCATTGTCGAAGAACAAAACAAAAAAAAAACAAATGAGGAGCAACGGGAACCGCTGTTTTTCAAAATCGTACCTGATTTTGGGGACAAGTGATAAGCAGCAACAAGAGGCGGAAATTACGAAGATAACAAAGCACTTTGACAAAGCAGAAACGTTACCTCCTCCTTTCAGACAAGTTGAAGATATATGTATATATATTGGGCCTAAAATGAGCTTTCGAAATAAATTGGGTCACTTACTTAATCTTTTCTTTTTTAGACTGGGAATGGGCTTGCCTATCATTTAATGACCATAAATTTGCTACCTCATTTTTCTGAAATTATACGGCCCAACTAAAAGGTGGCTGTTTTGGGCCCGGATCAATATGTTTTCATCCCTAATTAATTAAACAGGTTCAGCACCAAAATTAAAAAGCCACAGAAACACACACAAAAAATCACTTTGACAAAGATTTTGATGGAGAGCGCGACGACAGTAACGATGGTCCTTTTCTTCAGACGGACAAGACTATACCGCATTTTTGGGGTAGACGGTAAGCGATGATTGCCGCCTCTTCATCAATGGCTTTTATTATTTTATTTGTTTTTTAGGTTTGGTGCGATTTGACGCGATTTAGGGAGAGCTAGCAGATTATAATCTTACACAGTAAAGGAGATTTAACAGTTACTCGTCATCATTCACAAAAATTAGAAGTTTCTATGAAGATGGGTGTGGAGTTGTTGATTTATTGCAGCCTAATTTTAAGTTCGTACAGAAGCCCACGTCCGTGGGACAGGTTTTAATCATTTCAAATTTTTTGATGAGGCAGTCACAAAACAAGGGTCACTGATCATTACAAAAGTCTTGGTCATACTTCAATTTCATATCACTCTCTCCAAACAATCATCACCCGTCCTCCTCCCCTCTCTCTAAACAACCAAGGTTTGTTATTTGTAGGATGTTACAAATTTTCGCTTGAGTCTTAACTTTTGTGCAGACATTCACATTTTTACATTTGATTTTTTTAGATTACAATGAAGAAAACAATTCCAATTGCTCAAGTCGAAGAACAAGTTCGGGGCTGGACGGCGTTAGTCCAGGTTCTCCACAGGAGCCACATGTTAGTCAATGAGAAAGATCCCACCATCTCATGTCGCCGCTTCGTATTTGTCGATTTGGATGTAAGACGCAGTTTAATTAATGTGCTTTTTGGCTTCATTTGTTCTGCACTTGATGTCATAATTATTTTGCATTCTTTTGGAATAATTGTTATTTTTGCATTTGGTGCAAGAGATATTCAAGATTTGTTTGTGGTTTTCCGAAAATTTAAAACGTTCATATTTGTATCTGTGTCTGTACGCATAAACCCTTTTTTTTGTTCAGGGACGTTTTTTTAGGTGCAACTTTTCTTAATACATGATTGCTTTGTTGAATCATGACTGAGTGTTGGTACATGATAGTTCTACCTTCTGAATTTTTTATTTTCCACAATAATTAATATAATTTGCCATACAATCATGTAATACCTTGTTCCTATAGTCCCCTACAGCTGCTCCACTTTTACTTATTAAAGTCAGAACAAAACTGAGATATTAATTGTTGCTGCTCATTTATCTTTTATCTTTTCACAATTTGAAATAAATTTTATTTATTATTAATTATATTAAAATTTATTGCAAATTTTGTAAATATAAAAGTTTCAAATTAAGAAAAAAAATATTGCCCGGCAGTTGATCAAGATAAATTGAAAAACATGTTTTTGTCTCTTTAAGCTTTCACTTAGTAAGGTTGTCAATTCTTTGATTTGATTTCAAGTGGGATGGTTTTTATTGACTGTAGTTTTTATATCTTAGTGTTACAAATTACCGGTGACACTTCATCTGGGAAGCATATATAGTATACCCTTTATTAATCCTTGTGGTTCTGTTTAAGTGATTAATGGTTGTGGTTCAATTTAAGTGCAGTAACCTGGGACACCTTTTCAGCTTTGTGGAATATTTCAATAGCTTATGTGGTCAAAATTTTGTTTTGGTGTGCTTTTTGGCTTCATTTATTGTGCATTTAGGTGATAATCATTTTGCATTCTTTTGGAATAAATGTTATTCATGCAGGGTACAGAAGTATCAGCAGTCGCGTACAATGAAAATATACCGCCATCTTCAATGCATTTAATCCCGTTGAAGAAGTACTATGTGTCTGGGGCTACACTCAAAAAGGCAGCTGAAAGCGACAAGATTGGCCCTTATCAGTTCACATGGACCATCAATAATAACACTTTGATAGAGCCATGTGAGGATGGATTGGTGGACCAAATGTTCTGCCCCATAGAGTACCAAAGATTTGGCAATCTACAACGATTTATAGACACTGAAGATTTACAAAGTGCGTCATCTTGCGGAACTAAAATGAATATGTTGTTCAATAAATTTTAATATTCACTCATTCTATTACGGTAACCACTGTTGTCCATATTCCAATTGACATTTGTTTTCTATACAGACATTCAGGGTCTGGTGGCACACACATTTGAGGTGAAGCAAATTGGATTACACACTATCAATAGGGACATTGTGTTCGTCAATGATGAGTAAGCTCTAATTGGCATGCACATGTTAATTTGTTATACATGAAAACATATTTGGTTCCCTTACGAGAATTATATGTATTAGGAGGATTCCAATGATACTCACCCTCTGGAATAGTTATGCTGCAAATGAAGGTTACCAGTTGGCTAGCACCATTACTGCAGGGAATGTTGTTCTTGCTATGCGTGTTAAAGTTACGACATTGCATGGTAAAATCAAACATCCACATTTGACCACTAACGTTTTAAACATTTGTAAACAATCTTGTGTCCGTTATAAATAGGACTTTCATTATCGACTAGAGCTGGAACTTGTATTCTCATCAATCCACCGACACCCGAGGCAGCTGTTCTCAAACAATGGTGAACAATATCAAAATTCCTTAGTAAATAATACAATGTGCATAAATCAAATATTAATAAGTGTAAGAAATGAATGCAGGTACCTGCAGGAGAAGGCTGTTGTTGCAGACCTCGTCACAACTGAAGCTTACAAAAATACTTCGGTGTTACTGCCGCTGCCACACCCTGAAGACATCAAGACCGTGACACTCATCACTCCTAACAATGAGGTATTTCAAATAAATAAAACAAATAAACAATGAACCATAAAGCAAACACATCATCGCTAATTTGTCTAATTAGTTATCGCCCGATATGACACTTAATCAAACCAATAGATTCATACAGCATGGGTCGAAGGTTCACTGGTTGTTGGCTGTGTCCAACAACCACTGTGGTTTGGAGCATGCATGCAATGCTTGCAAAAAATTGAACTGCCAGTCGCCTCTCAATTTCATTGCACCTCTTGCAACAAAGATAACCAAATATTACAGAGGTAATTATGTCTTGTATGCGCATTTTTTCCCAACGTAACCAATATTCCATAAACGTTGGTCCTCAATCATGACTCGCCACCTTATTACAGGCCTAGGATTCCAATTACCATTCGGGATGGAACCGGTTCTGTTGACGCAGTCGCCTATGGGCAAGATGCTGAGAAACTCATCAAAAAAACGGGTCTACAGCTGCAGTGTGCAGATAAAAAGGTGACATTCCCGGGTACAAAGGTCGTACAAATTATGGCAGCTTTTTACTGAACACAGAATTAACTTTTGGTAGGGCAAAAGGTTACTTGAATATATAGAAAACAAGATCCAAGGGGCGCATGTTGTCTGCTTCATTAGTTCATTTCAGACGACTGGAATACCAAGCTCTGTGATAAAGCTTTATCTGGATGATGAGCTGCCGGATTACATCTTGGCTAATCCAGATGACTATGTTGCAAAAGAATCGCCGGGGAAATAACCAGGTTACTAAAATGACGTGAAAAATGCTAAGTACATAATGAAAATTATTGATGAAAAAATACTTATTTTTTGCTCATGTCTGCTGCAGCCTGATGGGAAGACTGAAATAAAAAAAGCCAATCCAAAAGAATATGTCCTTGCGCTTACGACACAAACTGAGGGCAAAGATAGTGCCCTTGCTTCAAAGCCACAAACTAGCTGTCCAGTGAACTTCAAGACTAATAAGAATACCATGGACGATGGGGAAAGTTCATGTGCTGATGAATACAGTGGATCATACCTGCAAACAAAAAAATGAACAAACCAAAAATCATCAACAACACGACAGAAGGCACGCAGTACCAAATGATTACTGAGCCAGTAAGCGGTTAACTCTACTAATTTTTGTTATCTACTGTTGTGGCAAGTCGTAAGATTCTTGGTGAATTTCAGTTGTCTGTTTTGTTCCACGCACCCTGCTTAGTTCGCTTCATTTGTCGTGCGCCTTCTCTGATGAACTTTTGTATTCTTAGATGTTATTGTTCTAGGATCAATTAAGCATGTATATGTTTTGGCAATGAAAAAATTCAGAACGAACAAATCTTGGTTAACCGAATAGTTGAGCAATATTTTGTTTTGTACTAGGTTCATGTTGTTTACATTATGTAGTTGTGCTTATGTTCAACTTATAACTAATGCTTATAACAGTTGTTTGTTTCGTTTTATTTATAATTTTATTTTACTTACTCTTATAATAATTCAATTTTTCGTGTAGGTGAATGTTGTGCGCAAGTCATTTAATTTTCAGAAAAAATAAAATAACACTTCTTGCTTCAACAACCTATTAAATTCAAAACGAAAATAAAAAATTGACTAAACAAATGACGAACATAACTTCAACATGGTAGGAAGGTTCAATAAAAAACATTAACATTATTCTTAAGAGTAACGAACAGACTATAATTAGTGTATAATTACACTGCCAGTTGGAATATCCTCAAACAATTGTTTTAAATTCTTCTTGCACGATACCTCCCACCACCAACGGATCCGACGTACGACAAAAAATTGAAAGAGAAAGACAAGTTTTCTAATATTCTCATATTTGCATTTAACTAATTTTAATGCAAGTCTTTTGTTCGAGTTCGTTTGGTTATAACCACTACCGAAATTGAAAACACCAAAATCTTAAAACATTTCCATAAAGAAAAAAAGACACAATATATGTGAACAATTGCAACATATGCTAGAATAAAAGCTGCAACATCTTATGACAAATTTTCACTGTATTTTTGGACCGGATTTAAGGCCGCCGTGCGTGCACGGCGTATGACCACTAGTCTCTCTTATACAAAGGAGTTAGTGCCTTTCTACAGACGACACGTGTCCGTTTTTGGCCTCTTTAAAAACTGACAAGTGTCCAAACATAATTACGATTTTGCCATGGAGGTTGTTTTAGTCAAATAAATTTTTCAGCCTTTTTCTTGTGCACGAAGTTTCGCAACAATTTTTCACTAATTCACTCCCTTACAATATGTGACATGACAGACGCTTTTCCGTTTTTTCAGCACACGCCATCTAAAGGAGATTGACGCAAGAGATTTTCATTCTGATCTTTAATCTTAAAACCCAACCTACAGAGCACTCCTCTTTTCTGTCCTCGAGAGCTATAATGATGAAAAAGAGATTTGGCAGTTCCATATCTACATGAAGAATCCAAATCTCAACCCATTAAAATGTAAATCCCACATTAATAGATCTTATCCCTTAGGAAGTATGCCACAGATCAACTGCATCTAAAATGACCAAAATCAAGGCATCACCTTGTTCTGCAGTGCTACAGAGCAAGCAATTTTACAGCCTGAAGACACAAAATTCCGATCTCATCCCGGCCACAAATGTCGTGAAACCGATCGCATCTACGACGACAGTCTTGGCTGCTCACCAGGACCGCAAGATCTATGTCCGGAAGGTGTCTACGCGAGCCAACCCAAGTTCAAAATTTTTTCTTCCGATGATTTTTTAAGGTACTTTCCTGCTACTCAATTTATTTATTTTGAAATAGGGTAAAGTTTGATACTTTATGCTGGTATATATAAATGGTTCTTGTCTTACTGAGATCTGTATGTGAAGAATATGTTCTTTGTTCGATTGATCAATTTTTTTTATTTTTTTTGGTTTTGTTATTTGAGTTCAGGAGTTGCCCAGGAATTTGCTTCTCCAACGATGGAGGTTATTTTTCAGAACCTTGTTGCCATTTATCATTTTTTTTTTATATTAATTGCTTTCATTTATGTTCAATTTAGTGTCGATTGTTGACTTTTTTGTTAGTCTTTTGACAGGGTAACATGACAAGAACTTTACCAGTTTTCTCGGACACGCAACATGGACCGACTGAAGGATATCCCGTACACGCAACATGGACCGACATAATGAGATTGAAGAAAGAGTGTATTGTGCTCTCTAATCTGAGAATGAAGAAAGAGTGTATTGTGCTCTCTAATCTCACACACTACCCGCGTCACAACTCAGAAATCCAGTTTCTCTATTTTTCTTACATAGAGCACCCACGATTACACAGATAGAACAAGAGCTGCGGCGCAATTAACAATAATCAGATAAATTTCATTTGATTTTTTCCAACCAAACCTTTGTAACATATAGGTCGCATTGGATAGGCGGATTTCATCATTATCGTGGCGGAGGGATGACGCCGACGCGGATTTGGCGACGGTCGCAAGGGTTGGAGTAATGCGTTTTCCGTGTGCATCTCGCCAGAGGATATTTCCAGGAGGATATTTCCAGAAGAGACGATGACTCCTTGATCATCGCCAACATAGCCGCCATGCTGGACTTTGGGCGACACTTCACGGGCTAGCCTTAGATTAGAATTCCACCTTCTGGCGCCGACCTCTAAGCTAACCACTGGTGATGGCGAGGCCCCAACGTCCAGTTGTCGGCGCTCACCATTAGTCCAAATCGGGTCAGCGTCGAGAGGTACCCTACCAGGCTGCGTCGGAGCATAAATTGAAATCCGGTAGCTACGCGAAGTCAAAGAAGATCGCCCCCAGGGTGACAGAAAGGTGTTGGAAGGAGGCGGTGCATTTTCAGGTGAGCAATTGAAGAAGATAAAAAAATTTCAAGTAATTTCGTGTTCGATTTGTCAAGTTTTTAATCTGATTTAACCATTAAAGCAGTTGGAGTTCTTTATGCATTCAACCTCGCATTTTAGAGGCAATATGTCCGTAATTCTGAATGTTTTGTTGTTTGCAATTTAGGTGAGGGTAAAGCCAGGACGTTCAAAAGCGGAGCTTCATTTGCTTGTTGATATCAACTCCAACGATGTGGCTCCAACGATGTGGCTGTGGAACTTGAAATCTAAAGGTGAGTGATAATTGGGTACCGCCTTAATATATTGAATATATGAAATTGTAACTATTGGGTATTGTCGGCTTGTTTTGCCAAGAAAATTTGTCGTGGTATAGTACCTAAGAAACCGCCTTTGATTTCTAAGGTACAGGTACAGCTTCTTTCGTTCTTCTTTTTTGAAAGTCCTAAGGATTATTATCAGGAATTATTTTTATGTTAGGATCATGAACGTGCCTACTGTGATTGGGCCCTGGGAAAGCTAAGCACTTTCATTGTCATTTGTTTTGTGAGTTTGAAGCTTTTAATATAATAATTAGAAAACTGTGATATGTAATTTGTTGGATATTTGTTCTTGCTTTATGGTGCAGCAAGGTGCGACAAAGCCTAAAGGACCACTGGAGGCTCTCCGGCCAAAGCTACAGGTATTCTCACTTAGTTAAATAGAAGGACTTTTATCTGCGTTACAAATTCATATAGCTCCAAGGTTACCACTGACTTCAATTTTTTTTTGTTGGTCATAAGATTGTGAAGTCCAAGATTATCAGTTTGATCAAAAATAGATTCTGTTTTATTGATCTAAATTGAGTTCGACAAGCATTTCGTCGTTGTGCACCCTCTACTTGGGAGGATTAAATTGAAATCTTTTTTCTATATAATCTTTCTGTTGTGAAGTTCTATCAAAATTCAGTTACTTGGGTGATTGGAGAACATTGTATAACAGAAAGGATATTTGAGTATAGATCAAAAGTTTCAATTCTCTATTTTAACTATTTGTTTTGTTATAAAATTATCTTTCATATGAACTTGTCCCCAGATAAATTGTTTTATATTGCTTAACGTTTGAGTATGTATTGTCAAAGATTAATGTGTCAAGGCGCTTGTGATTACGTTGTTTTCCATGAGCGACTACAATATACCTTTTACAGTCTGTTTGAAATTTCTTAAGTTGGAGAGAATCTAGGCATACACATGGCGTAAGTTGATATTTTTTCCTTTTCTGTGGCTGGGGGTGAGGTGTATATGCATGTTATGTTTATCCAGTTTCGAGTTTCAGGTCTCTTATTTATATTTCAGTATCTATCATTACATATTAAGGTTGGTAGCCTGTGAAATTTATAGTTTAATTCAGATTTGCCTTTGTATATATATATATATATATATATATATATATCCATATTTAAATAAGACAACAATAGTCGAAAGCGATAGTCTATTTTGTATGAAAAATCCATGGCATCTCTCATCAGATTGGGAATACATATGGAATCGACGTCCAGTTCGTGGTCGTTTACCAACCAGGGAGGGTAGGATTTAATTTTATCATAAGTCTATGGAAGAGCCTAAATTGTACTCCTTGTCGGATGGTTGCAGCTCTGTGGAAAGACAGGGGTTGGCACATATTGCTGCACCAAAGCCTAAATTTCTAAGTGACTTGCTTATGTAATGACAATATATTCTTATGTTATATTTACATGTTCTTATCTGTTGCTAATAATATTTTCCTTTCATTTGATTTTGAGGCCTTTTTTTTCTGATGTAAATTAATCTCAGGCC